TGACTCCTTCCAGAACCCGAGAAAATTGTTCAAGCAGAAGATTACAGAATTCAATGTAAATTGCTACAAGTTCCTGCCAACACAAAATGCCCAAACTCAATTCATAACCAATAAAGCAGGCCTTACTGTTAGTGGAGCTTCACAAAGTCACTCCCTCAGAAATATGAAAAGACCCTGTCAGAAGCTCATTTTATGAATTAGCATTCATAATTAAGCACTGCAGTTAAAAAGTTTATCGTCAGAACAAGCATTTCTGCAATCACTTTAGGCAACCTTATTTACAAAGTGTTGTCAAGCTACCTAGCAGGAAACAGCTGTCTATTAAAGAGCAGTCCTTTCTTGCTATGCCCATTCTTTAAATATTCCTTTAAAACCGAAATAGTTTTCAAATTAGTAAGGACGAAAAAGTAGCAAATACAACCTCCACTGGCCAAATAGTTGTATGCCATTTCAAAATCATTTATATAGAAAATACCCACTTATTCTATATTCTGAGAGCTATCACATCTTACAGCTGGTACTTGCCAACCAGACCAGTTCGCTTAGCAACAGCTTTACAGCAGATGAAGCATTTGTTCTATCAGCATAAAAGATACTTGCAGACTCTCTAAGCATTTATGAGGTTTCTACTGCCTTTTATTAATTTGTGATATTTTAGTGGGACTGTCCAGTTGGATTTGTACAGATTTTTCCCTGGTATAACTTAGGGACGGCCGAAGAGCTCAAAGCACTCACCTCCCTGCAGAATCATTTTTCTTTTGTTATTCAATGATGAAAACATTCTCAACATCCCTACAGACTTACTTCAGTGGCAATTATCTCTCTGCAAGGCTGCTACAGAAAATGACCTCTGCAAGTTTTGCTAGTGCCAGCCACTATCTCACAGAACTCTTGACATAGTGAAAAAGTCAAAGGAAAATGCAGCTCCTCCTTCAGATACGGCTGTGTGTACAGCAAGGCAAGTTGCATTCACAGCTGTTACCTGCTCAATAGTAGGACCCAATTTAACAAAAATAAGAACTGCTTATGTGAGGAGAGCATCCAACAGATCTGAGTGGACAAAAATCTCCAGCCACATGAGTGGCGATGAGCAACTAAAAGCAAAAATCTAATGGGGTATAAACTCTTCCAGGAGGAGCTGAATTTATGATAACTGTCCTCAGCCTGTTCTTGTGTAAGCTGTGATAAAAAACCTTTGCTAACTTTAACAAACTTCACTAAACCTTAATATCCCAGAACTCCACAAAGCCAGCAAAACTTGCCTAAGACAAAATCTTGAAGGATTTGTCCACACTCGGCTTCATGCCACAATGACCACACATAACCTCCTACAATACCATTCTATAGGTAAATGTCTGCCTGAGCTGTAGCCGCTGTGCAAGAAGTGAAGGCGTACGCTGAGCTATGCCATGAACTTCAGGGGAGCCCAGGGACTGAAAGACACAGAGACAGCTTAAAATGGAGCCCAAAGCCCTGCCACGCGGGCTGCCGTTCCTGCTGCATGGGTTTGTGGCTCAGCACAGACTCCTTGGCCTTGTGCTCAGAGCTCTGGGCATGCCGTGCCTCTTCCCGCGTGCCGCTTTGCTCATCCGTCCCTTTGGAAACTCTCTCTTTGGCCTGCACTCTGTTGCCAGGCAAGTTTTCTTGGTCTTCCTTTTCCTCCTTGCTAAGCTCCAAGCGTGCAGCTAAGAAAGGCTATGCTGCAGCTGCACGCGTGGTGAACACAGCCCCATCATCAAAGCGCGTTCGGGAGGTGTTTCTGAGCTGTGGCAGAGTCTCCATATGATGAGGCATATGTAACCTTAACTTCGGCATTTTCTGACTTTTGATGACTTAACCATGCCACTGAAATGAGCTGATACTTTTCCATGAATAAAAACATAAATAAAAATATTTGACATTATATACTTAGTATTAAAAAGATTGTTCGAAAATAAGTCAGCAGCGTAACATCAATATACAGTGTACTCTGGGATGTGATTTTTACCCATTCAGAGGTTTGGAACTACCTCAAAGTTATATTGAATTTATTAGAGAGTGATGGACTATCTGGTAGTTAAACTAGTGTAACTGTGGGCTCTGAGAGAGCAGCTCTGGTAGATTGTACTGCAGTGGATTAAGACATTATTGCCTTAGCTGTCATTTCTGGACCTGTACTAGGTATCACTACCCTCATAGCAGAGGTAACAGAAAGGAATTTGCCCCAGTTGCTCCAGTTCAAACTCCTGACATTTTAACATTAATCCACCTATCCATGTCTGGAAATAAGATATGCACATTCACAGGGCAGTTCTGGAAGATGCAATAATGACTACTGAACCTTGATACTATTCTACAACAGACAATCTAAACATGCCAAATGACTTTCTTTCTCCTCTGACATTGGACATAAAGAATAAAACAACAAGGAAGGAAAATCTGTATCCTATGATATACCAAGTGAACTACAAAAAAGCACCAAGATAGGTGTAAGCTGTACAAAACACATAGAATTAAACTTGTGTTAATGCTAGGGCCAAGCAGAGGGCTTCTATCTTAAAGCTGTGGAAGCCAATCTATCACAATTAATGTTGGTGTGTGAGCAGCAAGAAAAGCCAACAAGAAACTGCAGCACGCACAGTACAGCAAGCACAAATCTGCAAGAAGCACTAGTTCAACAGTAAGCAGCGCAAAACAAGTGTGGTTTTGGAACGCAAAAGTCTCCCAAACACCAACATGCAGGGAAAAAAAAAAAAAAAAGCAAGGGCAACCATTGAGACAATATCACTGAATATTATACAGCTTGTTTCTTTGCTTCTTTTTATTTTCTTCTGTGCCACTCTTGCAGCCTGAATAACTTAGGAGAGCTCCCCAGTTCACTGGCCTATACCTATAGAGCCTTGCACAACTGTTATCTAGCCCATAACAAGTGCTCCTACATGCCAAATCAGTAAAAATAAAGTAAGATTTTAAAGTATGTTGCAAAAGCTAGGGATAAGGCCTCAAACCAGAAGAGACAGAGGGCATCTTGCTGTAAGAGTTATAAACAGAAGATGACACCTATCAAGAAATCATTCATGAATCATCTGCTGAGGAACAGAACAGTAACCTCCCCACAAAAAGTCATTTGACAGCTACAGTAAAACGTTAGAAAACTGGAAGATTCAGAATAAAGGTATGATGCTCGGGAAGAAGTGTTGTCCATGACTACTAAGGGACCTTTTAAGTTCTAAATCACTTTCACTGTTTGCAGAACATAAAAATGTTCCTGAAATAGTTTATATTGAAAAGTTAAAAGCAAAACCAATAACTAGTGAAGTAGATGGTATCTTCATTGTTCCTAGAAAACGGCTTGTTGAGAACAATTCATAGGCTCAATCCTAAAAACTGAAACTTTGCTCTTGAACATTCCCTTCCAAGACAAATCTGCTCGGATTGCAAAATACTGGTTAAAGGATTTTTTTTTTTTTTAAATAGTAGTTCTTTTTTAACTGGTAGGGTTTTTTTTTTTTAAATTGTTTTATGTGGTTTTGCTATTGGATTCTAAAGCATTTTACTTGACTTGTGACAAGCTTGCCGTATTTATTCCAAAGCAAAATTTTCTTTTGTATGACAGAATCCTTGAACCCTAACTTGTTTTTCATATTTCCATACTTACTCACTGAAATGAATATAAATAAAATAAAAGATAGTACATCTGTACTATATGCAGCAGAATTTTTCCCCATCAACACTGATCTTACAAATACGTAATGCTGTTTACTGCTTGAGAAAGAACCTGCTTATAAAATCAGCCCCAGATGCAACACAGAGAAAGTCTTCCTCAGATTTTAGGACTAAGACATTAACTGAATATTAAGAAGACTGAAATTCCCAGCAAATACCAGATTCTCCTTCAGCCCTACCAAGCTTCACCGTTGTTTTATCCCTACCATTTTTCCTGTTTGTATTTTCACAGATTAAGCTGCTATAATCAAAATGAAAATATCTAAATAAAAAGAACAACCCTTCCTAGCAAAGGCCGTTTGAAAGACTTCTCTCTCAATAAGAATTATCCAGCCAGGAAATCCCAGTCAATGGTCACATACCACACCAGGGTTCTATATGATGCGTCTATTCGCGTGACTTGGTCAGTGAGATGGAGCTACTGCGAGTTAATTTCAATTGCTATAACCTTCTGTATGAATAGATTGACATTGATGGCTTAACAGGAAGCAACATATAAGAACGTTGCAGTACATACTTGAAAAGGAATAGGAAAAATCTGTTAACGTTGATAGGCTTAACCTCTGTCTCCAGTAAATTGCTAGCTCTGTTTGTTTGTGCAGGGCAAACGTGCTCATAACCCCAGTTACTATTGACAGTTAAAAAGTAGCTTGTTTTCTAACAAAAAAAAAAAAAGGATTAATAAGATTTAAGTTGCATTTGGACAACTTAAGTGCATTTTTTGATACAGTTTACCAAAATGCATAGTCACCTGCCTTCTGCCACCATATAGGGGTGATGCAGAAATAGGAAATTTCAACTCTGAAGATGCAAATGCTTGCTCATTTACTGTTGCCATTCATCTAGAAGAGCAGAAGCACAAGCCTATATATGAAACAAAATTTATATTTTTTGAAGAACTTATAGTCCAGTTCAAATTAAACTTCAAAAATACAACTTTCAAGTAGCAATAGTAAAGAACATTTTATTAAAATGGAAGCTTGTCAAACGTTATATATCAAAACTAAGGCCACAGCTAATGCTAACACAAAGTCAACTTCAAAAGGTTCTTATAATATGATTTAATTTAGAAATCTTGTACAAAGCTATTTTACAAATGAGTACTCAAACATTTGGAAATGTATCATTACTTACTCTAAAATGATGCATCAATTATTCTAGTGATATTATTTAATGATACAAAATATCGAAGCATCAGTACATAAAACCTGTGTTTCTTTTGGTCCTGTGAGGAAAATAATTTTCTGCATGACTCCAGCTACAGATATGAACAGAAGTACAAAACATTGTAATGGTAGCTGCCAATGATTCCTCCCTTCTTTGTGCTGAATTAGCTTCTTCTTTTATGATGTTAAATATCTCCGGTCATAATAGCAATGAACTCTTCCTGATTGACTGTAGTAAAAGAGAAAGTTATTAGACAAACAGCAAACAATTATAAACCACAGAATAAAATAATTTATCTGTATTGTATATAAAATATACAATAAAATAAAATAGAATAAAATAATGTATCTGTATACATTTTACTTAAAGGTTTCCCAGTTAGTATTCTTTGTGTTTGAGCCATTGATAACTACAGTTTATAAACACAAGTCTGGATTTTTTCTTTCCGAAGAGTTTTCACTTTTTTTTTTTTTTAATGTAAAAGAATAAAGTCAAAATGCAAGCTTAATTATGCATAGCACTTAAGCCAGAATCTAGCTTATAGATAATAAGCTATTATTTCTGTCCAATTATGAAAGTAAAAATATTCTAAAAAAAGGAAAAAAGGAAGAAAAATATTGGGAAAAGTATTTAAATTAACAGCTAAGCAAAAACGTTTATAATTCTAAGAATTGTTTTTAAAAAAGTTATAAAAATGTTAAGATTGGTTGCTATTTATCCTTTATGCCTCTCTCTAGCAAGAATGCCACAACCCAAGTTAGAATAATATTCTGTTTTGGTCTCAAAATAATGATTCAGACCTTTGTGCCCAAAAAAACCCACAGTATTCCTCTCCCTCCTAAACACATAATACTTGCTAAATACAATACGAATTTTAAGATCATTAGTAATGATTCCATAAACTAGGTAGAATTAAAATGGACTTTTCACAAGCTTTTTCCTCTCTGAACTTTCTTCATTCTTCAGTTATAATTAACTGAAATTTTAAACAAATGTACTTGAAGAAATTAAGTCATAATAATAAATTAATTAGCAGTCATTAATTATTTTTGCTTCACTTATACCTGAGCTATTGACCTTACTCATATGTTAAAACAGAGCCACTGTAAAAGAGTTAACCAATGAGCATGCTCTCTCTGCAACTAATTACTGTAATGGGGAATGGTTAGAATGAGCCAGTGGTACGGAGATGGCCATACATGTATGAAGAATTCTCCCTGACAATTATTTGTCCCAGCCCTGTGCCCAGGTTATTCCTAAACAAAGCCCTGAAAATTAAGTATTTACATTTACAGCTGGAAGAAAATTAAACAAATTCAACTATGTTAAAAGGGATAAAAATAAACTTAAATCTGCTCTGCTGTGACACATTTCAGAAAACATGAATTAACTTTAAATTTAGTTTAGGACCAAATACTCTGAGCTGTCAGCCAATCACATAGCTACACCACGTTTACTACAGGTAAGACCTAGGTTGTCTATATGACCTTTAAAAGCATTTCCACAGCTTTACCCAATTAATTTTTTTCAGATATAATTATTATTCTGTACTTTCTAAATTTTTAATGTTTTGGGTTCAGATAATTACAATATTCCTGTAATTTCTCCCTTGTATACTGATATCTCTTTTCCAAGTTAATTTTATTTTAATGCATTTTTGTTCGTAGAACATAGTAGTTAGCAATGACCTAACATAAATCATCAAAACCACGATGAGGATTAGTATTAAAATAAAATGTACATACTGAGAAGGTGTGAAGGAGCTGAAACACAGCTGCACCAATTAAAGAGTGGGAATATGTTTGGAGCACAGCCCAAAATTTATAATAAAGACAAAAGAATAGATGACTGGAAAAAAATATACCGGATATTTATATGTATGAATATTTATCTGTTTGTTCCTAGAAAACTGAAGGTTTAAGGGCAGAGTGAGGAAAAAAAATACATTTAAGAAAACAAAAGAGGTGTTTGTTGGCCCATTTTGCCTCTTTACAGTTCTTTATATTCAGGGAGAGTTCCAATTCTTGATCAGTTACAGTGAAAAATCAAAAAAAGTACGGAAACTTATGTTCCAGGGTTTGAAATAATCAATTAAAGCTTCACGGCATAAAAAAATGAAAGCTTTTTGGTTCAGTTATACCAGTCAAAAAGCACCACTAAATAGCATATTGCAACCTATTTTCACTTGTTAAGATTCTAGAATTACTTTAAGAGTTATACACAAAAATTTGCAGATGGAAAAAGATTACATATTGAAGTCACTCAATTGCATACAAAAATACTTACAAGTTATCTTATTTAAGATAATTTCCAATTTCACTCTTTACGTGATGAAGAGAGGGATACTCTCAGCATACATGACCTTTCTTGATGGTAGTAATCTTAAGGATACATTTGGAGTCCAAGGTAGCTTTTCAGTAAGCCACATTAAATGTAAATCCACAGATAAAACTCAATCCGTTTAGTTGCAGGAAAAGAAATTACATGTAGCCACACACGGATCTGGCAAGATGCCAAAGTAACCGCAAAAATCTAGCTACTCCCTAAAATGTAATAATTAAAGTGTGAGTCAAATGTCTGGCAAAGCCACTAAGAATTAGAAGATGAAAGCATCACTTTGCTTTGGCAGTGATATTACTTACTTGTTTAGGTCACATGACTGACACTACCACCAGGGTTGCAGCCTAATTGTTCTATGCGATTCATAAATGAAATAGGTATAATAAAAATACGATCCTGAAAGTCATTTTATTCCTACAGGAACACACGTGTAACTAATTCTTAAAAATTAAGAAATGTATCTTAGAAGCTATAAGAGTAAAAATAATATAAATAAATATATATATTGTTACCTCTGGTTTTATATAAACATATAGTCATGAAAACACAACAACAATGGCAGAAGACAGTACTTTTAACACTGATAGCAGCTTTATGCCATCATACTTACACACAACTTTATATATGCTACTGCCTGGCTTCATGAAACTATTAATATAAAACTGGTAGTAACAACATGCCAATGCCACGCCTCAAGTAGTAAGGATCTCAAGGAAGAGGGACAAGTATTTAGCGTGGGTTAAGACTATGTTCCTATGTTTTACAGGAATTCTCTACTGTTGCTTTTGAAGTCTCCGTTTGCTACACTTTACTGAATTTTATATACGGTTCTTAATTTCCCATATCTACAATCAAAGTAAATATGTATCTTTGTTAGTATTTAACAGAGAATAAGTTCTGAATTTCCTTTAATTCTACATTTAGACGATTGATGTCTGTGAATATGCTAAGTCTATTAAAAGATATCAAATGCATTACTCCATGCTAAGAAATACATTATTCCTGTAAGTTTTGAATACTTTTCGAGTTACTGAACCCAATAATCCTCATAGCCCAATGTCTTGCTCAAAGGAGGGTCAACTAAATCAGATTGCTCAGGCCCTTGTTAGTTAAGCTCTGAATATCTCCGAGGTTCCAGTATTTCACTATTTTCATAGGCTGAAAAAATTACAGCTTCTTTTCACCTTCTCAGAATCTAGAAAAACCTTACGTGATTTTATAAATCTTTCCCCCAAACAATCCTCAGGTAGAGGCTACTGTCCAGGAAGTCCAGTCCCTCACCAGTCTAAATGATTACTGCAGCATAATACAATGCCCTCCTTTGTAAGCAAGCCTACGGGCGCATCGGATGCTCTCAGCACATCAGTCTAATATATGAAGAACCAAATGAACGTCAAAGCATTCTTTCTATTTCTATGTTACTACCCCAGGACATTACTGACCAGAGGGCACATTTTAGACACAGAATGGGATAAAATGCAACAGCTAGAATGTTACATTCGTTTTACCTCTTCAGCCATAAACCTGCAAGTAGGACTTTAAGCACTGAAGTACGAAAAATTACCAAAAATATATGACCCGTGTATTTTCTTTCATATAATTAAAGAATAATCTATCACTTTCGTTTTGATAACTTCTGATTACTGTGAGAAAACACTTTGAAATCCAAACAGGCCTGCTATTCAGAGCAGGCAACACCTGTCTCTTGGCATGCAAGTTCAGCTTGGTATCCTGTACTATCCAGCAGCTGAGGAGGTCCCATCAAAGTCATGCAGAAGAATCAGATTTTGGGTATTATCAAATAGACGGAATAAACAGTCTTTACCTCTTGACTGTGTTTTCACCTCACAGAACAATTTCAAGATATAGCTAGCCAAACTGTGCGCTAGGCTGTTTGGAATTGATTTTTTTTAT